GCTGACTTTTCATCGTAAGATTCCGAACTTCGTTCCGAACTTCGCAAATTCGTTGCCAAGTTCAAAAGTTCATAATGAAATTCACAAACAGGTTGGTAAACAAAGCCTCTGATTGGCTATTAAATCAAACCAGCCAATCAAATGCCCAGTTTACAAACCTGTTTGTGAATTTCATTATGAACTTTTGAACTTGGCAATGAAGTTCGGAATCTTAAGATGAAAAGTCAGCTGAAATTGACTGTAATAAGTCTGGTTGCATTATTGTGAGAACAGGTGGACTATAGCAAATTTTATGAAAGCCCATGATATATATATATACTACATGCACAGTTTCTATCAACAAATTTCGGTATTTTAACATTAATTAAGTCAATATTAATTATATCACTAAGAGTGCATTATTTTTGCCGTGTTGATAAAAGGATCAATATGTCATTCCAGGTCATTGCCTAATGGTGTCCACACTATGCAATTGAACATTTCCTCATCACCATATAAGGTATATTGTCACATGACAGATATTCCTGGATGTGGAGGTGGAGGTTGGACACTAGTCATGAAAGTGAATGGAAGTATGGTAAGATAGAGATCAATAAGGGTTAATGCATGTTAAATTTTATTTAACCAAATAATCAATTCATTTGTCAATTAAGCAGTCAAACAATCAGAGAATTTCAATCTTTTACTTTTCTGACTAAAACTATATATCTTAAATAATAATTTTCTACTAAATCATAAACCACAAGTCAATTAATTTCAGAAAATTCCCCAGAAAATTCCCTATATATATGGTGGCAACAAATCAGTTTTAAATTTTATGTTAAGTAATCCAAGAATGGATTATTCTAAACAAGTACTTTGTTTTTACCTCAGAATACTTTTACTTATGACTCGGTCCTTTGGAAAAACAAGGAGACATACGCCATACAAAATGGACTGGAAGGAATATCAGACAAAGAAAGCAAGTTGGCTTCATATTGGAACACTCCCTTTACAAAAATTTGCCTGGGTATGTCACACAATGGAGAGAGAAAATGGATGACATTGAACTACGCCGCAAGTTCGCTGTACAGCGTGATCGCAGATGGACAATTCAGGGCCACGACCGCTGGCAAGGCTACATGGAAATCCCTCATCGCAGGCACATCACTACAAAACAACTGCAACAGAGAGGGATTTAACGTAAAGTTCAATAGCAATTCGGCTATGCGAATTGGAATCGTTGCCAATAATGAAGGAGACTGTAATACATGCGATTCTTGGCTTGGCTTTAGCAGAGCATATGTTTATGATGGTACATCCAACAATATACTGGTTTGCGGTAACAAAGCGACTTGCTGTAGTTCCGAAAATGAAATTAAAACACTGGTCACATTCGGATATATTCTTGTTCAGTAATTTATTTCCAATTCACGCTATCTTAGTTGATTTTCAAATTAGAATTAAACTATATAATTATGACCCCAAAATCATAAGTATAAGAGGCGGCGGGAGCAATATTGGGGCTGCAGCCCCCCCCCCCAAGAAAAATATGTAAGCAATAAATCAGTAAGATGATACTGATAAAAAAATGCAGAAATGCATAAGATAATAG